TTCATCCAGTACGCCAAAACCTAAACTCACACAACCTATCTTTTTACCAGAATGTAAACATTTGATGTCTTTTACAGCAGCTGGCAAGTTTTGCGGAGACTTGGCCATTGTTGGGTGGCACTTGATTCCAGAAGGACAGGCCATTTTGTCTGTGGCTTCCTGCCTTCCAGTGCTGATAAGGGGCATCTTAAAATGAGCAGGAAGGGAAAGTTTAAGCTGTAGTGTCTATGGAGATTCTCAGTCATCCAGGTATAGATGTCCCAAAGATGCCTTTTCAGGAGACAGCTGGAGTTTCTTGTTTTGTTTTGTTTTTTTATGACATTTCGCTTCTCATCCGAGAAGCTTCTTCAGCTCTGACTAGATTCTTCCACTCCCCACCATCTAGTCCAGGGGTGTCAAAGTCAATTTCATTGAGGGCTGCATCCGCATTGTGGTTGCCCTTGGGAGGCCAGCTGGGTGTGGCCAGGGTGGGTACGGCCTACTGGGTGGGCGTGGGTGGAGTGGGTGTGGCCTACTGGATGGGCATGGCCAGCTCTACATCCTTCGCGCCAAGGGTGCCTGTGGGGGCCTGGGCAGGAGTGGGACAGATCTGAGGGTCTCTGGTAGAAGGTGGTGGGACTGGGGCAAGCGCCAAGGCATGGTCCATTTCTTTATTCGTCACAAAGGGTGACACCTCCCCAGCATGCACCCAGGGGGTGGGGCCAACGCAGCAGGAGCCGGTTCCTCGCTGTTTCCAGACGGCCATGTGGAGCTAAGACTGAATGCGTTTCAGCATAGATGGCCACCACAAAATTGTACATTGGCTCCCGGCCAGCCTGGGCCAGGGCCAAAGCAGCGGGGGCCGTTCCCTCACTGTTTCCAGGATGGCTTCACGGGCCACATGAAACCATTTCACGGGCCGCATCCAGCCCCTGGGCCTTGTGTTTAACATGTCTGATCTAGTCAGAGCTGAAGCAGCTTCTTGGATGAGAAGCAAAACATCTTCAAAAAAAAAAAAAAAAACCCAAGAAAGTCCACTTGCCTCCTGAAAAAGCACCTTTAGCAGTGGTGGGATTCAGCCAGTTTGCACCAGTTTGGTAGAACTGGTAGCTAATTTTTTGTTGCCCAGGCCCAGAATGGACTTCCGGAAGCGGCATCCTCAGGGAGAACCGGTTGTTCACATATTTGAATCCTACCACAGACCTTTGGGTTAAGCTGCAGTGATGAATTACTTTTCCTGGCAACTTTATTCCACAATAGACTCCACTATGCAGTAATAAGGACCGTAGCCCACACTCGAGAGACAATATTAGATGGCAAGGGGTGGTTCATTTTATGATAATTGAGCAGTTTTCAAATTCATCTAGGGGTACAAAGGGAGATTGTCAAGTTGTTTAATGAGCCTCTTAGCAAATCCCTCATGCACATTATCCCAGCTGCAACAATGTATATGAGTCTGCACATAGAAAAATATCCTCTCCCCCCCCCCCAGTGATGCCATCCCACAGGGCAAGGCCTCATTAGTCTGTTGAAATCATAACCGATGCCAACTGAGCTTGCTCAAAGGATCCATTTTGTTTGCTTTTACATTTGGGACTTATAAATGTAGCCTCTCCCCCTTGCCTTCTGCTGCATGGCTCTTCCTCAAAGAGGACTAGACTCATGCTGAGCTTTTATTTGTTCAATGGAAACTTATTTAGGAACAGGACTTATATCCTGTGAAGGTTTCACTTTTAAGCTGAAAATTGTACCTTCCCCCAACACTTTCCCTTAATTCAAAATTCAGTTAAGGGGATTTAAAGATAAACCTTTAATGCCTTAATAGAATCATAATCTGCTTTTATGTCAGTTCTAAAACTGCGTTGAGGGGCCACAGCTCTCGGAAAAGCATAGAGTTTGAGTTATGCACATTTATTCATGATAATTAGACATCACTTGAGTTTGGGAGGAAGGCTGCAGTGACTATTTTACACAAAGGATCAAAAACAACCAATTCTGAAAATACTAATACTTCCAAGTTCACTGAGAAGGTTGAATTTTGTGGACTCCGTTAACCTAATCAATTGTTGTGGTTTTATGGTCTGGATTTTTATAATTGGGAACAATTCTTCTGCACTCCGTGCATTGAATTTTTGAAGCTGTTCAATGTCTGCAAGTTTCTTTTAGATGTAAAGATCAGAACATGGTCAGTCCAGGACATGTTTTGTTTGTGAGGAAAAGCTGGAATGTTTGGGCAGATGTTTAATGGTAAATGTGGAAATTCCTCTCCCTCATTACGATGCTGTGTGCATGAGTGTGTGTACACAATCAGAGAGAGATCCTACAAAAGCACAGTGTATCATTTTCAACATGTTATAGCACCAGCATGGCAGCAATCCTAAGCTTTCTTTGCCATCAAGATCACTTTTGGCTGCATCTAGTATCTAACTGAAAAGCATTCTGAGTTTTAATAAAGGATTTTTATCCATGTGGAATGCAACTCTCAGCTTTTAATTAGAAATGTAAACAGCCTGGTATACTAGAGATGCTTTTTTTCAAGTGCTTTTAATGAAAGAAAAGGCAACATTTAGTCTCTGCTTATCATTCACGGCAAGTAGTTATTGTGGTGCTTTGGAACATGATGTCCCTTCTCTTCTACATCACTGCTGGTGATGCAGTTTACTTTAGAGGGCGAAGTGGCTAATTGGGAGACATGATGGAGGCTCACAAAAGAATCTATAGCATAAAGAAAGTGATCCTCTGATCCTTTCATACTATGTGTCTCGGTCACCCAAAGAGCAGTTTGGTGGGAGATTCCAGATAGCGATTCCTCTATTGATCAATAGTTAATAATCAATAATAATAATTCAGAGGTTTCATAAGCACTAAACATAAGATGCTGGAACTAAAATGAAGAACATTCTCCCTTTCTTACCGTCTTTGCTTTTGGAAGCATCATGGGAGTGGGAGATTTCTATGCAGGAAGCAAAATGAAGGGCTAGGTAGCTCTATCCCTAGCAAGAGGCTTCCTCTATGGCAGTGGTTCTCAACCTTTTTAATGCCATGACCCCCAACCGGTCGTAAGTCAAGGACTAAACCGGTCGTAAGTCGAGGACTAAACCAGTCGTAAGTTGAGGACTAAACCAATCATAAGTCAAGGACTACCCAACCGGTCATAAGTCGAGGACTTTCTCTGCCCGGGAGCGCTGCACCTGCGTGGTGCCGCCCCCTGCGCCGGCCGAGACGTAGCTGGCAAGCAGCAGAGATGGAGCAGGCCGACCACCAGCTGGGCCACCAGCTGGCCCAGCCCAAGGGAGGTAAGGCACCCGCCAGAGAAGGGGAAAAAAATGGCGGACAGCCTTGCTTGGCGACCCCCGTGAAATGGTCGATCGACCCCAAATGGGGTCCCGACCCATAAATTGAGAACCGCTGCTCTATGGTATGAGACACCACCTCATGGAATATCCAGTAGAAGAGACTATTTGTAGCTCAAGGTTGAACTGTGGGGTCCTTGGTGCTCTTTGAGCTTGGTTGTTTTCTTCCCCATGTTTCACCAGTAACCGTGCTGGTGATATTACCTAGTTGCATAATGAAACGTCTGCAAGAAAACAACCCCACTCAGAAAGCACCAAGGTCCTCATGGGATATCTAAGTAACTCAAGAAGTATTTGAAATTAGAATTCACAGATATATTACAAGTGGAAGTGGAAACAGAGTCTTATGAGCAAAGGCTGAGGAAACTGGGTCTATTCAAGTCCAAGAAGCACACACTGTGATATCCCAGCCAAAAAAAAAGTTCCTTAATGCCCCAGACTGTTGGGCCTGAAATGATAGCCTTAACTCATGGGAAGGTAATGCTACTTGAATGTTAGAAGGGGGAGAATCTTCCTTAAAGTAAGAAAAGTTAAATAGAGAAGCCAATTATCTTGAGAAATGGTAAACTCCTGAAAGTAAATTACACACACACAAACACACACACACATTTCTCTGGATTCATTCTTGGCTAAAAATGTCTCCATTTTTTCCATTGCCTGAGAGAGAGAGGGGAGTTTCAAAAAAAGACAAAAGTCGCTCGTTATTCTTAGGCCAGCGGAAGGCAGCTCATCCCTGTGTTGCCTAGACAACAAGGGGATGCTTATATACCATTCATCTCTTCAAGCCTTGCTGCAGCCTGTGAGGGAACAGCAGGACAAATCACCTGGTTGTCTAGGCAACCAGGCGATATTCCGTGTCTTCCGGGCTTTATGATGTGACTCAGATCTCTGATGGTAGGGTTTGCAAAGAGCCACAAAAGCTTATTGCATTCCACAGCTTGTCATTCCGTGACCTACAAGCCATATTTCCATTTTACTCATTTTGTTTGTAGGAATAGTTAATATTTCACAGGGTTCATATTTTAGAAGGAATGGACCATTTTAGCACTTCCTGGATCTCCCTTCCGTAATATGTCGTCTTCCACACAGAGTAGAAATTCTTTAAATCTATGCTGTTTTATGACTGCAATAAAGAGGGGTTGGATTTGATTCTGTAAATTGTGTATGATATACATTGAAGGTGCCGATTTAAGAGACACTTTTCTGGATTTATAGTGGATCGGAACTCTTTGTATTGGACTGGAAAAAATTTCTTCCAGCATCTGTTTTTATCCAATCCACATAACCTGTTTTTTCTTTCTTTGAGAAACTTATGAAAATGCTTCACACAGGTCCTGTTTATCTTGAAAAGGACATCCCAGTGTGTATTGACCCTAAAGAACAGTTTTCACAGCCCAAAAGATGTGCTTGGATGTGCTTTTGAGCTGAGGCTAGGATCACAACATTTAGAGACATGTGAAAACAAATTAAAAAGCAAAACCCGACTTGCCAGCACCATTAATTCAATGTGTAGTATGGAAACTTTGAAAGCTAAGTAATTGCATGATCTTCAAAGATCTTATTCTGCTTTTCAGGTGTGAGAAGATTCATCCCATTAGTGTTTCAAGCATTTAGTGCTCCCAGATTCAGCATTCAAACACTCACTCTGCTTCTTACCTCTTTCTACAGGTTCAGCATCTTCTTTTACACAGCAACCTCAGGACCAAGTAGTAATTGCTGGACAGCCCGTGACCCTCCTGTGTGCTATTCCCGAATATAACGGAATTGTGCTATGGATTAAAGATGGACTTGCTCTTGGAGTAGGAAGGGATCTCTCCAGTAAGAATATTTTTTTTAAAAAAAAAAATTGTATTTATTTATTAAATGTACATGTCACCTATCTCTCTGTCAAGCACCTCTTATCTGGTTTGTTAAATATTTTTACTTTGCATTTGGTCAGATCAATCCTTACCCACCCGGGAGGGCTCCTATTAGATGCTAAACAAGAACAACATGGTAAACATCCAACGTACGCAATGCACACACACACACACATCTCTTCTCACCATAAAGCAAACACCTTTCCCAGGTTTTATTTTTACCCATACGTTTAGCAACCACAAGCTGAGAAATAGTCATGCTTTTTGTGGGTGGGTATGTGTGCCTTCAAGGCCTACATGTGTGCCTTCAAGAGCCCTGGTGGCGCAGTGGTTAGAATGCAGAACTGCAGGCTAACTCACTGCTCACTCCAGGAGTTCAATTCTGACCAGCTCAAAGTTGACTCAGCCTTCCATCCTTCCAAGGTTGGTAAAATGAGGACCCAGATTGTTGTGGGCAATAGGCTGACTCTATAAACTGCTTAGAGAAGGCTGTAAAGCACTATGAAGTGGTATATAAGTCTAAGTCTAAACGCTACATGGATAATTCCCTGCACTGCCTTTTCCTTAGGGCTGAGAGGAAGTGACCAGCCCAAGATTATCCAGCTGGCTTTTGTGCGTAGGGCAGGACTAGAAACCCAGTTTCCCCATTTTGGGCCCAGTGCTTTATCTACTAGACCAAACTGTCTCTCATTGGTTAAGACCAGGCTATTTTGGTTCTTCCCTGATTTTCAAACATTTGTGTTTATGGAAGTGCTTAGGTGCACTGAGAACCAGTTTGATCTAGTGGCTAAGGCACCAAGCTAGGAAGCAGGAGACCTGGAGTTCTGGACCCACCTCTGCCATGAAGGCCAACTGGGTGACTTTGAGTCAATCACCAGGAGCCTGTGAGTTCTACTCCTGCCATAGGCATCAATGCCGGTTGGCCAGCTGCTCTTTCGCTGCCCAACTCACCTCACAAAGTTGTTGTTTTGGGGAAAATCGGAAGAGGAAGGAATATTATATGTATATTCACTGCCTTTACATTTTAAAGTAATAAAGATGGGATTAAAAAAAAATTAAGCCCTACCTTACTTCTTTTGTTTTCCACTGCAGAAATCCTATCTCCTGGTCTCAGAAAGCACTAAAAGAAGGATGTTATGGCTGACCATCCTTGCTTTGAATACCCCGTGCAATTTTTAATTTTGTTATGAGCCACCTAAGTCCTTGAGGGACTAGAGAACCCTTTTATACTTGTGTAATACTTACACAAGTTTAATCAATAATTATAACTTATCCATCAGATTTATATCCTACCACAAACATAAGCAGACCCTTGCTTTTGTTTGTGATAAGAATCAGACTTTGAACAAGTGGGTGCCTCCCAGTTATAAACATTCCAGTGTACAGCATGCTTATAAACAGAGGCTTGAGAGTTTGCTGTAAAATGGGAATCCTGCTCCAGGCTTCAGAGCAATGATGTGATAGCCCTTTTCTCTTAACATACCTAAGGGCGTGATCTATGCATTCAAGAGGGACTGAATCAGCTTCAGGGCATTACAGAAGCCAAGTTCTGTTCAATTTATTTTATTTTATTTTGCTGAGTTAGCTTATTAAAAAAAAAATGTTCCTGTTCTCCTTACTAAGGTTCCTTGCCTGCCAGATTTAAGTAATCAACCACCTTCTCTCATATCCCCCTTGCTGGTGGAAGCTGCACAGTGCATATTGTTAATATTTCTGAAACAGTCTGTTCTCTGCCTGCCCAAATTTGAGGAGATCTTAAAATGAGTAACAAGAGCTAATGTGGTTGACATCTCATTCTGAACAAATCTGAGCAATTAACTTTCTTGGGTCGGATTTAGCAAGCTGGGGTTCTGCCTGCTTGCGGAATTCCAGCTCAGCTAGTAATCTAATTAACTAAATACAAACAAACTCTTAATTTGTTTTTCTCACGTTTCATGAGAACAAATCTTGATGTCGATAGCTTGGAAAACAAAAAAGGTTAATGCCAAGCTACCTCTGTCTTGCAGCTCATTAACAATATAACTTGAGAAGAAGTGAAATTAGGGGAGGTCTCTGAACCTTCCATCCTTTAGAAAACTGGGAAGACAAAGTTAAAAATGTCCACTGCCCCATCAAGATCCTGCTAAACCTCTGCTGTCAAAAGCACTTAATAGTGTCCTCTTGTTAATGCCCATATAAGACCAATATTTGGTAAACAAAGAAGCTCTTAAATAAAAATAACCTTCATTAAAAGATGCTGGGATGAGGACAAAGTTTCCACACAACAAACACAGTTTGAATAAAGTCCTTGGGGTACTTTGTGAAACGAAAGGCTGTATGGTCCACATTCTTTTAAAGAGGGATTCGCATCAGTATGCTGAAGTGTGAAGTGACACACAAGTGATGGTTTTCTATGGCTTAAGCTACCCCAATTATAAATTGTGGTGCATAACATTCTCTTCCTGACATTAGAGAGATCCTCTTTTTAAGAGTTCTCTTTTAGTTAAAGCAAAGCAAAACTAAACAAAACAACAATGGCCACTCAGTGGAGGCAAGAAAGTGGGAGAAGAGAGTTGAAAAATGATTTCTAAAAAGGTGAATTCGTGCAGTGGATGAGGGTTTTTCTTCTTTGTCACCATTTGTCTTTCCTTTGAAAGAATGCGTAGCTTTTGAAACAATCCTGTTGAGTAGGTTTTAAAAAATAGTTGAACTTATTTATTAGGCGCTAAGTTTCCTTCAGATTGCCTTCAAAACATTATTTTGGTTGATCAGTAGCACCAAATGACTTTCTTTCCTTCTTTTCCTTCCTTGTGCTCCAGTTTGGAGGATTCCCCAATTTATTTTTGAGAAAATCTTCAAAGGTTTTGTGAAAATCTTCAAAAGAAGAAGGATGGGGATGGGGTTTAATGCTCTGGAAGAGTGGATGGGTTTGGAGAGCCTTGAAGTGAAGATTTAGAAAAAGAATACGAAGATGTGATCCAACTTTTTTTAATGGTCCTTATGTCATTCTTCTTAAAGAAAAGAAAAAAACTCAGCATCTGAAAAAGTCATGACATGAACAGTCCTGTCTGGTGAACCTTGTGTTCTTCCAGACTTCTTCTTGATGAGAGGGGGAAAAAAAATCAATGTACACTTGCTACTTATTTGCTCTAACTCCGGTTCCATTATGTGCCCCACAGGTTATCCACGTTATTTGGTTGTGGGAGATCACCTCTCAGGGGAGCATCATCTGAAGATCCTGAGAGCAGATCTCCAAGATGATGCGGTATACGAGTGCCAGGCCATTCAAGCAGCCATTCGTTCCAGACCAGCCCGGCTGACTGTTCTTGGTAGGGATGTCATTTTTCTTGGAAAATGATGGGATTTATTTCTTCCCCGAGTGGGAAAGAAATGAAATGTCTTTTGAAACACAGAACACAGGTTGGCATTACGCGATACGAATTGCCTGGCTTATTTCAAATGAATTGTCTGAAGGCGATTCGGGGGGGGCGGGGGGAGGTCAACATTCTAGAGAGAAAGGTAGGTAAAAATGGCTGTCCTGTGATATATTTCCTCCTCCTTCTCCTTAATGGCAGTGCCAGGCACAGCTGTAGTCAGAGATGGGGGTGAAGAGATAATGAGGCCTTGTCACAGTATAGATAAGGATGTGCGAATATTAAGGGAAGGAATGCAGAAATGATTGTGTAAAGACATATAACATTCCTAAGGCCTACAAATATTGATAGAACTGGCAAAACAGCTACAGTGAAGGAACTCCCATCTTTGAAGCAGAAATGGGCTATTAGGACCCCCAAATCTGCATCCAACTTTCGAGACCCACTTTCTTTGTCACTCTTCGACCATAATCGCTGAAAATTCAAGTTGCCTTCTTCTGTCCCTTTATGGCATCAAACCGGTGGAAATTTTAACTGCAAACATTGGCTTCCCATAGCAGAAAGGATCAAAGAAAGAGTTAAAACCTCTTCCGCTAAACCTAGTACAAAAAACAAACAAACAAATAAAAATCCCATCCCTTTCTGTTTGCATCACCCTCCTACCCATTGTAAATGCCAGGTTGCTACCCAAATTTAAGTGGGGCACATAGGGTAGTTGCTAAAAGGTTACCCTGCTGTAGGCAGCTATTTTCTCTAGTGCATTGAGAGAGGAAGACAGGAGGAAAACTCGTAAACACCTCTCTTGCTGAACATGTGGAATTTAAATATATTGAAATTCCTCTTTTGTTGAAGGTCAGAGTTGGATATGTCTCAAATTAAAAACTAAAAATACTGAATATAGTGCTTCACCCAAATCATTCCTTATTTACATGACAATGGCTCTTGAACAATGCCCTTTGTATTCCTTTACTTTTAGTCTTTCAGTACCAAACCACCACCTCATTCCTACAGTATCTTGGAAGAGGCAAATAATAATAATAAAAAAAAACCCTAAGGAAAAAAAACCCTTGATTAAGAAGTATCAGTTTGCCTGATTTTGATTTATAACAAATCCTGATGATTCTGAATGAGTAACTGGCAAGCACAAGATTTATGTACACAAACCCAGATGAAAAGTATACATCTAGAATAACTCCCTGCAGCTACTAAAAGCTGAGATGTTATTATGATTGAAAAGTGTTTATCAGTGGAGTCTGTATGAAAGAGAGAATGGGAACTAATGTTCATTCATTATCATCCCTATGAGTGGCATCTTCTATATCACAAAGGTATGGAGGGGGCTTACCAATAAATTGGAAAGAAAAGAATTGTGTGCAGTGTAGACAATGTGTATCCTGGGGAAATTATCCTGTGAGAGTTTTTATGATTTGATTGCATGTAGTTTGTGTTCTCTGTTTATTATTATTCTGGTTGGATGAAGATCTCCATTGGCACCTCCTAGCAAGTAAATCCTTCTCTCCTTTTATTAATTAAATCTTCCTCTGGGTTTTGTTCTCCTTAGCTGCCAGACTAGTCAAAGTCAAGGCATTTCTGTTGGAAATAGATTGTGGTTGTGGGAGGGGATTGGTTGGCTTGCTTGATTAGCTGTTGATGACAGAAAGCAATGAGGATATTGCACTTCCCGTGTTTTACTCCATTACAGTGAGTATGGAGGACTGGCAGTAAGATTTTTTTCCCCAGGAAGAAAGCTGTTCATGCAAGCAATTTAATAGTAATTACTTTCTCCTCTCTTCAGGATTATAGCTAGAATCTCTCCTATCCAGCAAATTAATTCACGTGAAGAAAGGCTTTGCATGAATCTTGCTATATTACATGTTGTTTCTATGTCTTGGAACTTCTATACGTGGACTTTACCTTCCCTTTGTAAGATGAGACAGGCTATGTTTTGCAACTGTGTGTAATTCTCCTATGTATCCAGCACCATTTCTGTGCCTATCGAAATGCTACATCTTAAAGTTGAAGCTCAACCCAAACTCCCGCTTTGGATTCAGAACTCCTCTTTTGCTAGAACTGGTTGAGGCTTCTGCTTGATATTTACTGGCTCATTACCTGACTGTTGGGTCATGATTGTAGCACTCTATTATGCTGGAAGTTCATAATTTGGTCTCTTCATTATCCCTGCTGCTTGGCACTCACTCTGTCTGCAAGCCCACGCTGCTATGCTATTCAAGACTACATCTGAAGTTCTGCAAGGGACTGATTAGTTAACCTAGAATATCATAAAGGGAGAAGAATGTGAATGGCCAGGACAGGCCCTCTTAAAGGTACAAGCAACGTTCTGACTATCAAATAATAAAAGCCTGCAGAATAGAGACGCAAATTTCTAAAAAAGTGGGGTATTGAAGAGGTTTGAAAAAGTGCTTTGGAGATCTCAGGTGAACTGCAAATCTTTAGTCAAGCACACTTACTTTGAAGGACGCCCCATGGAATTCTACAGGTTTCATGCCCAAATAGATCAGATTGGACTATATTAATCATTAGCCAGTGATATGATGAACTGAGCTCAGAAGGAAATGCATTTTCCAGTACTGAAGTTCGATGGTGGGAAGACGAGGGGATAGATGGGGAACTCATCAAATTTGCGGATGACACCAAGCTGGCAGGAATAGCCAACACTCCAGAAGACAGGCTTAAGATACAGGAGGACCTGGACAGACTTGAACACTGGACGCTATCTAACAAAATGAAATTCAATGGTGAAAAAAGTAAGGTTCTACATTTAGGCAAGAAAAACCAAATGTACAGGTACAGTATAGGGGGTATCTTGCTCAATAGTAGTAACTGTGAGAAGGACCTCAGAGTCCTAGTGGACAATCACTTAAATATGAGCCAGCAGTGTGCTGCAGCTGCCAAAAAAGCCAACACAGTGCTGGGCTGCATTAACAGAGGGATAGAATCAAGATCACGTGAAGTATTAATACCACTTTACAATGCCTTAGTAAGGCCACACTTGGAATACTGCATCTAGTTTTGGTCACCACGATGTAAAAAAGATGCTGAGACTCTAGAAAGAGTATAGAGAAGAGCAACAAAGATGATTAGGGGACTGGAGGCTAAAACATATAAGGAACGGTTGCTGGAATTGGGTATGTCTAGTTAAACGAAAAGAAGGACAAGGGGGGACATGATAGCAGTGTTCCAATATCTCAGGGGCTGTCACAAAGAAGAGGGAGTCAAACTATTCTCCAAGGTGCCTGAGGGCAGGACAAGACGCAACGGATGGAAACTGATCAAGGAGAGAAGCAACCTAGAACTAAGGAGAAACTTCCTGACAGTTAGAACAATTAACCAGTGGAACAACCTGCCTCCAGAAGCGGTGAATGCTCCAACACTGGAAGTTTTTAAGAAGAGACTGGACAGCCATTTGTCCGAAATGGTGTAGGGTTTCCTGCCTGAGCAGGGGGTTGGACTCGATGACCCCCAAGGTCCCTTCCAACTTTATTATTATTATTATTATTATTATTATTATTATTATTATTATTATTATTATTATTATTATTATTATTATTGATCATCGCACAGTCAGCCAGATGTTCAGACTGGATTTGGCATTTTGTCTACCTATCGAGTCCTTACCCAGGACCTGGGATAGGCAGATGTGGATGTTTGATGGTATTACAGATATCGTTGCAGAAGGAAGCAGTTCCTAGTAAGGCTGCCTTTTGCAATTGACTAATAGCGAATTTGTCAATGCCAATGGTGTTCTAGTGGTGCCCCATTTGTTTTGGGATTGCACCCAAGGCAACTATGACTATTGGTACTACCCTTGCTTGCCTTTGCCACAGTCTTTCTATTTCTATTTTTAAGTCTTTGTATTTTGTTATCTTCTCCAGTTCTTTCTCATCTATTCTGCTTCTCCAGGCACTGCCACGTCCACTTTCCAGACTTTTTTGTCTTTCTTATCGACAGTTGTTAAGTCTGGGACTGAATTTGCCCTGATAAACACTACAGCACAGTGTTAACAGAAGAGCCCAGCAGATGCTCTCCTAACAACAAATTGTTCTGTAGGTCCTCCTCTTTGCAACTTTGCTGAGACCCAATGATTTGGAAGCAAAATGTCCATCAGAATATCTCAGCATTAAAGAAATTATGAGTAGTGTATACCTTTCCTCCACCTCTTCTATCCCATTTTTTTTTAAAAAAAATGGCAATTGAAATTAAACTTAGAGATAATTAGAGTGACATTTCCATTTTTTTTAAAAAAAATCCTGTTTTTGAAGAAGAAACATCCATGACATGTAACAGAAAGGAAAAATCACATGTCTAGGAACAGTGAAATTATAAAGGCAGTATCATGCATCTTTTCCTACAGTATAAAAATTAGTCCTTCTTAAACCAAACGAGGCTTAAATTACTAATAACCGATCACTGTGGTCAACAATAAGGGATTTCAGTCTGATCTAGGCAAAAAAAGAATCCTTACTTAGTTTGGGAATCACTCATGACAGCTGCAAATATTTGTATGTTACAGTAAAGCAGGGGTGTCAAACTCAATTTCATTGAGGGCCGCATCAACATTGCGGTTGTCCTCAGGGGGGCTGGGTAGGTGTGGCCAGGGTGGGCACGGCCTACTCGGAAATTTCAATGCTTTCCTCATTTATAATCTAGAACCAAGATCTGTATTTCTGCAAACAAAGGGGTGTGGTTAATACACAACACCAAACAATAACATTTGAGAACCAGCTGGCAAAATATTTTTACGTTCTTTTTGATAGGAAATAAATAAGGGAAGAGGTAAGACCGTCCAAAAGCAGCAAAGAACCAGCAGACCTTGACCTATTTCAGCATATTCCATTCCACCCTTTCTGTTTTCTTTTCTTCCATTTCTGAGAGTTCTTACCAAGCTCTAAATTTTAATCCCTATTGAGATTCTTTCAAATATCCTCCCCCCCATT